AGCAATGATCAAACTCTTAAATGCGATGGGCTATAAAAGGAGGGAAAGAAGGTAAAAGAGAGAGGAGGATGATTTTTCTGCTATTTCTTAAAAAAGCTCTGAATTTATCTTTACAAAAAAGAACCGATAACTCTCGACGAGTACCCTCTAAGGACCTCAATGGCCCAGGGACTCTCCCTCAAATCCCACTCAAGCTCACTAGCTGGTTTGACCGTCAGAGGTACCACGGGGGAAATGAGCTCCGCCCTCCCATGGGTTTCTTCTTGTTTGTGCAAAAGGATCAGGAATTCCAGTCTAAGGATCGGGCATAAAGTCGGAGGAGGAGTCGACCCTATCTCTCATCCTCTCTCTATTCGCCGCCAGCGCGAAGACCAGAACTGGAACCCTCTCGACTATGTGATATCAGACATCAACACCAACAACTCTCCAACCCATGTGAATGTGAGCCCCGATAAGGGTGTCCATTCAGGCCCGGTTGCCTAGGGCTAGGCCCGGGCCTGAGCGGGTCGGGCTTCGGGCCGATTGGCTTTTTTAATTTTTTTTAAATCTCTTTAAAACTCCAATTTTACATAAAAATTACACAAAATTTTAATAAAAACAATAATATTATTAATCACTTGAAATTACATAAATTACAAATATAAAAAATTATAAAAAGACAAATAATAAAAAATAACTTTTTAATTATAATCAGTAAATCCTTTACAAGTATAATTTTATTTCAAAATTCGTCGCATCACAATAGATGAGTACATCCCAACTAAGTTGGCACCTACTCACTTATATCACTATCATTTACAACTATTTCCAAAATAATTCATTACAAAATTTAACTAAGAAATAAAAATTACAATTTGATGAATATTATTTAATCTTTATATCTATCTGCTAGTCCCAATTATTTAAATTTATCTTCAATTCCAGCCAACCGATTGATGTCTTGCGTTCTCTTCTCGTACCTCCACCAATCTTGTAAGTACATCACCGCCTGTATAGTATACGAATCTAATAATGTCTTGTGATCATCGATCAAACATCCTTCTATACTGAAGGCGGATTCCGAAACTTTCATCGAAACCTGTACTGTTAGTAAGTCACGAACCATGGTGGAAAGTATAGGATATGAAACTGATCCATATACTCTCCACCATTGTAAAATATCTAAATTGTTATTTTGATGTTTAACTAAAGAAGCAGATAAATATTCATCTATTTCAGAAACCTCCAATGATGATCCAAGTCCAGATTCACCAGTTAGTTCAGCTACCATTGCATACCTATCAAAACTTATACTTTTACCTTGACTTGAGCTCGAAGAAACCAAAGCTGTAGACTGTTGTGTAGTTACATCATGTTTAGCTTCATACTCATCATATAAGGTTTGAAAATAATTTCTAATAGCATTATGATGAGAAGTAGCAGTAATGGTGGAAATTTCTAATAGCATTATGATGAGAAGTAGCAGTAATGGTGGATCCATCATCTAAGTCTATAATCTGATTACCATACAAGGATTGTAACAAACTTCGAAATCCATCATCTAAGTCTATAATCTGATTACCATACAAGGATTGTAACAAACTTCGAATGCCAATATCCTTTAATTGTGTATCAATAAGAACCCCCAAACGAAAAATATGAGGAATAGACCTAAAATACTTATTAAATTTTCTCTCCATTTGAAAAACTATAGCTCCAAAAGTATCATCCATATGATATTTAGCAAATAATTTTAAATATTTAAAATTTGTAAAGCAGCTAAAGTAATAGTTGGATAATAACAGCCAGATAATAACATTGTAGCATCAGAAGCTGATACCGAAGCCGGATTTGATTACAATGGAGGTTATGTTTTAAACGACATTGTACCCCTTGTAATCAACCTTGACGATGATCAAACGTCAGAGGGCAGTTGTAACTGGCAACTTGCCAATAATAAAATAAATAATGATTTAATAACAGCCAGATAATAACATTGTAGCATCATAAAAAATTTATAACATCTCTTTTAAATCACTTATAATTATCCATTCCTCTTCAGTTATTTCATAGGTGCTACCAGAGCTAGAAGTAGAAGAATAATAAACAATAAAATCATTTATAATTTTTTATATTCTATTGCTATATTTAACTTTACATATGTGGAATTCCACAACATCTTTTAGAATTAGTTAGGGCTTTACATTTTTTTTCTTTTACAGAATTGTTTCCATCTTCTAATTCTTTGTTCAGAAGCATTATGCATATACGTTACTGACCTAACATTTTCTATCATGAGTTTAATTTTAGTAAATGTATTTTGAACAATTAAATTTAAAATATGACAAATGCATCTAATATGAAAAAGATCATCATGACATGATAATGACAGAGTTGTTTTGATAAAATCAACAGCTATATTATTATTACTTGTATTATCTAGTGAAAGAGAAAATATTCTTTATGAAATTTCTAGTTTCATAAGTTCTTCAATTATTAAATTTGTAGCATTAATATCAGTATGTGACTCTTCAATTGCAATAAAGGAAACAACTCTTTTAAACATATGCCAATTCTCATCAATCCAGTGTGCTGTGATGCATAAATAACCAGTTTGTGCTTTAGATGTCCAAATATCAGAAGTTAAAGAAAATTTACAGTTTAAACTTTAAAAATAAGAAATTAGTTTTACTTGTTCCTCCTGATAATATTTTAAAACATCACGTTGATAAGTTTGACGAGAAATTTTTTTAAATACGTGGTAAAAATCATCTGTAAATAAATCTTTAAATTCATCATCTTCTACTAATTTAAAAGGAAAATTCTTAAGAATAATAAACCTGATGACGTATTTCCTGGCATGGGATGCGTCATAACTCTAACTTCCGAGACTACCAGAAGTTGAGGATTGCGATATCATAGATTGTCGGATATCACTTTGAGACGTCTGGCCTCTGTTGTGTTTATCTAAATGGCGTTTGAGGTGGTTGGTACCGTTCTTATGATGAGCTTGGAAAATATTGCCATACAACGCACATTTAGCCTTCTGGGTGAGGATCCTAACGTGTTCATCCTTGGTGACGTCTATCTTCTCGTAAAAATTCCACACATCGAATCTCGGTCTTTTAGAAGCTCTTGGTGTAGAATCGTCGCAACCAGATCCAGGATTAACATCGGTAGGATCGGTAGGAGTAGACCCGGTAGGAGGACTCATTTCAAAATCAGGAGATAGGTTTTGCCCTTCATAATATGATCCGTAAGCTATTTGATTGAAGAATTAGAGAGTATAAGAGATTATTAGAGAGTATAAGAGAGTATAAGAGTGTATAAGAGAGAAGTAGATGGGTTTTGATGTGAGAAAAACAAATAAAAATCCCCCCTCTATTTATAGAGGTAGTCCCCTAAACAAATGTCTAAAATACCCTCACCATATGATCCTTTTTGCCGTTTTTAGGGACAAAACAGTGAAAACAGCCAATTTGGCCGTTATGACCGGGCTGGAATGGTCACAAATGTGACCATTTATGTCGGACCGGCTGGCCCGGCCCGGCTTTTGCCCGCAACAGTCACCTTAGATGACCGTTGCCCTCGGGCCGGTTATTTTACGCTCGTCGGCGCTCGTACCCGGGCCCAGAACTTGGACTGGCGGGTCATTGAAATCAGTCATAATTCTTTAATTATTTTTTAATGTAATTTTTAATAAACAACTAATCAAAAAATTTAAATCGAAAATTATTTTTTAAAATCAGGCAAAAAATTAAATCGGGAATGAATTATCTAAATTAGGAATGGGTATTACGAAAAATTGAGAGGGGTAAAATAGGTATTCAAAAGTTTTGTCACTCATATTTTGTTTTATAAATAGTAAGTATAGATTATAAAAACAGTTAATTGTAGATACATCATATTTACCCGATAGGGTTAGCCAATTATTCTCTCTAAACATTTTAATATATTTAACTTCCTAATGATTAATGAAGCTATCTTAGTTATCAGAATAGGTTTATGTTACAACACAGAAAAGTAAAGGGAGACCTCTACAGCACAGTAAAATATCAAGGGATCTGCTGCAATTGCAAGATACTAACCTCAAGTGAAACTCATGTGACGAGTGCAAAATAACGGATCTAGATAACTCCTAGAGAATTTAGAGAATTTCATGAGATGAAAGAAATGCTCAGGTATCACAATGTTGTCTGTTGAGTATAAAAGATCAAATTATACAGCAAGATGAAATATAGACGACCAGATTTTTGTCCCCTTGATGCAAACGTACAATGAGCAATGAGGAAATATCATAAATTTTCATTCATATACTCTAGCCTCTTTCTTATTCATTTAGGTCTTATTTCTTCATGCATGGTCTTGTTTTCTTTTTTGTTCACAGCACTTTTTATGAATCTTTCACTTAAAAATAATATTTTCTTTCTTATATCTTCCAGCCTTTTCTCTTTTGTTTTTCGATTGAAAGTAATATCGTTTGATATTAAACAATATCTTGAACAGGTTTTGATGATTGCCTTCCTATCCCTTCTTGTTGCTGATGATTTTGAAGTATTACCTCTTCTCCTTTTTCTTCAAGGTTGAGGTTTCTTCTTCCAAACGTGTCTTCAGCTTGTCTTTGTGGCCACTGCGGGAAATAATAAGCCAGTGACAAAATGATGACAATTGTTATGGTGCGTGTTTGCAACATTGTCAGGGTGAGTGAGACATGGTGGCTGCAACCAAGACAAAGCGTAAACAATATACGACAGTAAGCAATGGGATTACATATTAGCATGCGTGCGAGAATTATAATCTTTGGTTAGGAGCCAACTTAACCCTCTCCAGTCATACCAGCCAAGGCAAGGGTAAATAGTGATCATCTTCTTGCAAGAAATAACTCAGACTACGAAAGAATACCCCACCCTTTGTCACCGCAAGCGCACACCGGACGAGTTATCAACCTCCCCACCCAAAAAAAAAGAAAAAAAAGAAAAAAAAGAAAAATTATTATCTAAACACACACCGGCTCTCAAATTTCAGAGACGAGAAATCCACGATCCTGCCCACAACACAATTTCTGACACAGCAGATACTTTCAAAACCAGAGCATAATGCTGGAATGCAGCAAAATAACAGCAGAAAGTGAACAGTAACAAGAGATAAGAGGAGCAGAAATACAAATTGAACATGTCCAAATCTGAAAACAACCCTCTCAACGAGTTCAAAGCAACAAAATGGAAATATAATACTACAATTTAGAGTGGCCACCTACAGCTCACCTACAGCTCTAAAACCTATGATGTCCAAAAAGACAATATTATGAACCTTTCAGACTAACACTGTAGCCTCGAATCACAGTGGAGAATCAATTGTGGCCATACATGGGTGGAACTGAGTCATACTGGCCAGCATATCCTCCAGGCTGTGGAGACACACCTTTGGCATA